GCTGCTGAATCGGACCAGCAGGGGCTGAATCAGGATGCCTGGGGCAGAGCAGCTGGGGTGCTGCCGGGTTGGTCCAGTAGCACCCAGAGCGGCGCTACGGGACCAACCGGCAGCGCCCCAGCTGCTGTACCACAGGCGTCCAGAGCAAAGCCGCGGAGCACAGGGGCAGCGGGACAGCCCAGACGCGCCATGGCTGTCCTGCTGCCCTCGTTCTCCGCGGCTTTGCTCTGCTTTGCTCCCCGTCCCCCTGGTCGGCGCCATTTTTAAATGCCGGCTAGTTCGGACTGCGTGCCGCGCGGCTACCCGTGGCACGAACTAGCTAGTTCGGATTAGGCTTCCTAATCCGAACTAGCTGTACGCATCATGGAACGAGGGGACAGGGTTGGCTTCAGGGGAAATGACACCTTGGGCAAACTTGTGTTTTGGTGCCCCTGATGTATATGGGCATTGCACCACCCATTTCCCATGGCACCCATAGGCTCCCAAACCCCTGTCCCTTCTTCTGTGCCCCCTTTTTCCACTAACCCGTGCATTGTACCCCTTTTGCCCCAGCATCTGCACAGTGCCCCTTCATTCCAACCCTTGCTCTTTCCTCCCACCTGTGCCCCAGCGGCAGATATAGGGCAGGGCAAGCAGGGCGGCTGCCCCAAGCCCCACGCTTCAATAGGCTCCACCAGGGCGGAGCCGCCACGCAGGCCCCAAACGGCCGCTTGAGCCGCTTGCTCCCACGCGGCGTCCCGGCTGAGCAGCGCAGAACTCAGCCGAGTGGCATGGCGGGAGGCAAAGGGGGATGGGGTGGTGATGTACATGGCCAGGGGGCAGGAGGCAAAGGGTGTGACAGAGGCTCCACCCCCTGGCCATGTACATCACCGCCCTGCCCCCCTTCGCCTTCCGCCATGGCGCTCGGCTGAGTTCTGCGCCACTCAGCCAGGACATCGCACGGGTTTGGGCTCCACAAGTGAGAGGCAGGAGGGGGAGGACTAAGGAGAAGAAAAAGAGAGAATGAGGCAGGAGGAGAAGAGAAAGAGAGACAGTGAGGCAAGAGGGGGAGGAGACTTAAATACAAATGAAAATTTTTAAATATTAATTCAGAATTTTGTTTAAGAATGACTTACAATATAATTAAAATAAAAATTATCCAACTAAATTAAGTTTCTATCAAATTTACCCAATTCACATTTAATATGAAAATAGTCTTTAATTTGCGCATTAGACGCCTCTTTTCTATTTTTTCTCCAAAGGGGGACCCCGTGAAATTGTGCTGCCCTGGGCCCTGCAAAATTCTCATCCACCCCTGGCCAGCGCTGAGCTTCCAGCATGCTCCCCACACTGCTACCCTGCCCAATACCCTCCACCCCCTTTGCCCAGCAACACCCATGTCCACTTTCCTCTCACCCTCTGGCTACAGCGCCCTGGCATGGGCCCAGTTTGTCCATCCCTAAGGCTGGCCTTGATCAGAGATGATCTAGATAGTGCTTCGTCCTGCCATGAGATCCTTTTCAGTTCTAACATTCTATGGTTTCCCTGCAAGAGTGATTCAACATGCCTCCCCCTCCTTCTGCAGACCCAGAGCTCAGGGAAAACCACATGTGCCACCCCCACTGGCTCTGTCCCTGCCTAAGCTTCTCTCTCTCAAGTCCCTCCTGACTTCTATAATGCACTGCCCACAAGTCCTTATCAGTCGGGGGGAAAAAGAGACACTCTCCTCATTCATGCAATCCTTGCACTTCAACCCTGTGGCGTAAGGGTGCCACGGTTCAGGGGTTCCCCCTAGGGCCAGATTAATTCCTTTGGGGGCGGATTTTGTGGGGCCCACCTGGGCTCTGGGGGAGCACAGCTACCGAGGGGCACAGATGGCTCTTGCTGCTCTCTACTAGCAGGCACCGCCTCTTGCCACTCCCATTTGCCAGTAATCCCAGCCTATTGGAGCTACAAGGGCGGAGCTTGCAAGCCAGCACATGAGACAGAGCTTCTATGCACTGCCATTCCTGGCACCATGCCACTTCCTCCCACCATCAGGCAGAGCCCATGTACCGGATCAAGGCAAGCTGCAGGCTGAATCCACCCACTCTACTAGCAGGCACCGCCTCTTGCCACTCCCATTTGCCAGTAATCCCAGCCTATTGGAGCTACAAGGGCGGAGCTTGCAAGCCAGCACATGAGACAGAGCTTCTATGCACTGCCATTCCTGGCACCATGCCACTTCCTCCCACCATCAGGCAGAGCCCATGTACCGGATCAAGGCAAGCTGCAGGCTGAATCCACCCAGT